TCCCCATCTCCCTTATATTCCCTCTCCCCCTCCCCATCTCTATTATATTCCCTCCCTCTCTCTCCCTCCCCTCTCCCTTTCCATCTCCCTTCTCCCTCCTATTTCACCCCCTCTCTCCATATCCTTCTCCCTTTATTCCTTCTCCCCCTTCTCCATCTCCCCCTCCCTCCCTCTCCCCTCTCCTCCTTCTCCCTCTCCATCTCCCCCATATTCCCTCTCCAGTCTCCCTCTCCCCCTTTCTCCCTCTCCCTCTCCCTCTCCCTCTCTCCCTACTTGGGCCAGCCTCAGAGTTGCACTGGAAAAGTAGGGGGTGCCAGTCTCCTTGATTACCTTCAATCGAGGCTCGTTTGGGTAAGATGGTCACAGCTCCCTCGGCTACATCCTCCAGCTTCACAATGGGAGAGAGCTTGGAGCCCCAGCTGTCGGAACCCACCCACAAGAACTGCCCGGTCAAGTTGGCACGGCGCGAAGCTTCCAACACTCGCCTGTGGCATTGGGGGAAATGAGAATGAGTGTCTTATCCAACCTTCCCCACCCCACCCCCCAGGGTGCTTTGTGGAAGACAGTGCACTCACTTGATGTCATCTTCATTGGCGAAGATTATGATGCCGCGGGCGTTGGGGGTCTCCATCAAGCGCTTGATGAGTTTGTCGAACTCACCCACTTTGGGTTCCCGGGGGATTTTGATGGACTGGGCGATGCAGACGCCACCTGCCGGGGGGGGGGGGGGGAGAAGAGAGCTTCAGGGAGTGATGTCCTTCCCACCTGGACCAAATTCTTCTTCCCTCCCTGGCCCCTCCCTTACTGCTCAGCCCAGACCTTTGCTTCTCAAACTGTGCCCCCTGGAACCCTGAGGGGGTCTTTGGATGCATACTGAGGTTCTTCTGGGATGCCTATTAGGGGTTCCTTTTATATGAACTGAATACAGCCTGCAGGGTCTAGGACTTTCAGCAGAAAAGGAGGAGGAGGAGAGGAGAAAACATAGGAGGAGAGGAAAGAACAGCTAACCTTCCTTTCCTGACTATTTTTTCTCCCCGAGCTGCTTTTTTCCCCACAAGGGAAAAGTTATCTGCTCTTTAGAGGACCTGTATCTTTTCTTCTCCTGTGAGGAATGGGGGAAGGCAGCAACTTCTGAGATGGTGATTTTGACAGGGGAAATTGAAGAAGAAGAAGAAGAGATTGGATTTATACCCCGCCCTTCACTACCCAAAGGTGTCTCAGAGAGGCTTACAAACTCCTTTCCCTTCCCCTCCTCACAACAGACACCCTGTGAGTTCGGTGGGGCTTGAGAGAGCTCTGACAGAAACGGCTCTTTTTCAAGAACAGCTCTTATCAGAACTACGGCTTGCCCAAGGTCATCCAGCCAGGTGCAAGTGGAGGGGTGGGGAATCAAACCCGGCTCTCCCAGATCACAGTCTGCGCACAAAAACAATACACGAACCTGAGCTAGGAAGTTTTCTAAGTCCATTTTTCTAAGGCGGCTTATGATATTAATGAAACAATTATTTAAAAAACAAAATAAAAACAATATAAATAAAACAATAATGATAAAACTCATTAAAAATCACAATTTAAAAACTGTAGTTAGGACTCCTGTAGAATAAAAACTGAATCAGTCGAATTAGGTCCTGAATAAAACCATCTTTGACTGCCTCCTAAAGATGGGAAGTGCGGGGGGTCAAGGGCACCTCCCTGCGGAGGTTGTTCCAAAATTGTGGGGCTGCCACCGAAAAGTCCCTTTCTCGTGTGCCCACTAGATGAGCTTCTTTGATTGGTGGGACGGTCAGGAGGGCCTGTCCCTGTCATTTTAATTCCCGGGCAGAAAATGGTCCTTAAGATACTCCAATCTCAAGCCACTCAGGTCTTTAAATAACATGGGGAAGGACTAAACAAGCCCTTTCTCCCCACTCCCAGCCATTCGTCCACTGAAACTTTCAAGCCAAGTCTGTTTTAAATTACTAAAATAAAACACAAGAAACCAAAAATACGATGTGGTACAGCACATAATTTAGCCTTCGTGGGTCCCTGAAGACCATTTTGTCCCACCGTTACTGATCATCCCTAATAATATACTGCCTGTCACAGGCGGGGGGGGCCCCCGGGGGGGGGGAGTTCAGCCCACGTGGGGCAACACTGAGGGGCTCCAGAGGCCCGCCACTCTTATACCTTAAAATATGGCCCCCCAAATCTTCAGCAAGGCACAGAGAAACGTGACAGAGAAAGTGATCCCTGAAAGTAGAGAGTTTGAAAGCCATTGGCTTAGAGGTGAAATGGATTTCGGCGGGGAAGTTCTCAGAAACGGACATTCGCTTGCAAAGGCGCCATCTAGCCAATGATTTTGATTCTAATGGGAGAAATAATCTCATGCCTCATGTCCCAGTTGAGTTGAATGGCTCAACCCAAATGTGCTCCCAAAATTTTAAATTCTAATTAGGAGAGAGCACATGCAAAAGGATTACTTTCCAGCCCGTTTTAGTGAATTAAAAGCATCGTTCTTTGTTATGCCTAGATTTGAGTCCAGTAGCATGGGAATTTGTGAACTTAAATTTCAGACAAGTAAGAATCCCTCTCCCCGTTATAATACATGAACACACTTGAAGCTGCCTTATACGGAATCAGACAATAGGCCTGTGGCGTCATCCTTATTGGGGAGAGTGTTTTCCCTTTAAAACACTCTGTTTACATAAACTTGGTAGATTTCTGCTGCCACCAGGAATTAAAAACACCAAATCTCTCTATTACGGTAGAATTACCCAGTGTCTGGGCACTTCAGAGGACTATGTGGCCATGAAAAGGACTGTTCTGACTGCTGGGATAAGTTTAAACAAATAGTGATTTATTTATAAAAGAACAAAATAGGTTTCTGGGTATTTTTGAATTGTTGTTGAAGAAAGGAACTTATAAATATAACTGATAAAGCTGGGTGTCACACACTGTCTCTCAAAACACCAAATCTCAACTCTGACAGCCTTAGCCACACAGGCTAAACTGTTTGTCTTAGCCACACAGGATAGACTCAAACTGCTTCTTCTGCCATACAGGCTAAACTCCCCACTCACTCTCTAAAACCCCCAAATCACCTCAGAGACACCCATCCTTCCACAATCTCAGTCTTCAGCCAATCACATCACACTCATCTCCCTCTATCACTCTCCTTACATTGTTGCAGTCAAACTAAACATTTAAAGAAACACACACACCAAAACATGAAATCATTACAAGGCCCATCAGGGTCAGTATTGTCTAATCAGACTGGCAGCAGCTGTCCAGGGTCTCAGGCAGAGATCTTTCACATCACCTCCTGCCTGGTCTTCTTTTAACTTGAGATGCTGGGGACCGAACTGGGGACCTTCTGCACACCAAGCAGATGCTCTGCCACTGAGCCACTGCCCCTAATATTCTCATGTGCTGAGAGGGCACAGGAAGGCCTGCATGTGAACAACACAACATCAGCATGTGAAGGAGTTCCTCTCTTTTCCTTAAGTGAGGGGGGCTGGGATATATAATAAAATAATAATAATTATCGTATGTCAATGTGTGTAGTATAGCCAGGAGATCCAAAGATTGTCTGGCAACCTTAAGTTCTAGCCCTTTAGCGTTATGTGAGCTAGACTTTTTTTTTGAGGGTGTGTGTGCTGAAAGAGCTGTGACTGAACCAAAGCCACCCAACTGGCTTCATGTGGAGGAGTGTGGAATCGAACCCAGTTCTCCAGATCTGAGTCCATTGCTCTTAACCACTACACCATGCTGGGATCTATATTGAAACAAAACTGGAGCATGTATGTTAGGGGAACTAAACCCATTTCCCCTTACTTTGGTCTTTTGATTTCAATACTTTCTTCCCAACCTGGCTGACCAACACTATGAGAGCTGGGCTAGAGAAAAAAATGCTAAATAAATGTGACAATAATTATATAGAAAGCAAGTCAATGATAATGCCAAGCTCATATATATATAATCATAAAATCACAAGCATAATAAAGGAAGTCTGCTGCTTTTGAGATATGCTGTGACTTATTGTGGGTTTGAGTTTGTTACCACACACTTTTGGATAATTGCTCTTTATTATGTTTGTGATTCTACAATTATAGGTAGGTAGGTAGGTAGGTAGGTAGACAGAGAGAGATAGAGATAGATAGAGAGACAGATATGAGTTTGGCATTATCATTGACTTTGTTTTCTATATAATTATTGTCGCATTTATTTAGCGTGTTTTGACTACAGATTTGTTTGTGATTTCACTGGACATTGAGGGGCGCCACATTACTCTAAGGCCGCGGTCACACGGACCTCTTACCGCGCTAGTTTTCCCACAGTTCTTCTATCCGCGACATTTTATATCGCTTGGAGGTGGTCAGACGGTCCCTCTGTCTTCCGCTTCACTCGCGCGAAGTACTGATCACACAGCACGCCGTCCCCGCAGGTTTTAAAAAAACCCCACACATGCGCATGCGCTTGGGCGTACATACAAACTAAGAAGACCAAAATAAAAGCTAGCGCCTGTTTGCACATGCGCATAACTTAAACCGGAAACACAAAAAGGGGGGGGAGGGTAGCGCGGTCACGGCGGATTGCTGTCCAGATACCAAAACCACAGATACAAAGCGCGAGATATCGGAAAACACCTGTTCCAACGGGTGTCAGAAAACGCGGATAAAAAGAGCGGAAACCGCGGGACTCAGCCCGCTTCGGTGCGGGAGGCGGGTTTGCCAATATGAACAGGAAACTTTAATGCGCGAGGGATCAGCAGCGAAGCCCGCACTAAATGTCCGTGTGACCTGACCCTAAGTGTGTATAAGCGTTGTCTCCCTGAATGGGATACTTCTCTTTGTCTTAACTTGGGAGCTGCCCTCTGACCTCTCCTCTCCCTTTCTCCTCTCCCTCTCTCAACATGGCCTTCCAGGGAGACACATGTCTCTGCAGGTCTCTCCTGTGGAGAAAGTGTCTCATATTTGCGTGCACACGTGTTGCTGGACAGGCTGGCCATTTGTGACAGGGGAAGTGCTCTTCAGACTAGGGTTCCTTCTCACCTTTAGACTGCAGCCTGCATGTGAACTGGACCAACTTGAATAAATGTAAGTTTACCTCCCCCCCATATACTTCTTGGGAGATTTATTTACTGCACTCAGTATCGTGCTCCTATGACTGCGAAGAACTCCGCTATGTGAACCAAATATCCCATTTCTGCCCTCTCCTCCGTGCCTGCAGGCTGCCCAAGAGGAGACAGCTTCTGACCATGTGCCAAATGCATTTTCCTGACCCTGGGGTGATCACTACCAGCCTCCATATGTGAGATCGCCTGGCTGGATTTCCAGGTAGGACCAGTGCCCCCCACCCCCGGTGTAGCTCCACCATCATTCCCGATCACACCCCTGGCCCCCCACTCACCCGCCTCGCGAGAGATCTGCACGAAGGCGTCGACGCCGCTCTCGCCGTAGTTCCCCTCAGACGCCAGCGTGGAGACGTAATTCCAGCCGAGGGCCTTCACTATGTCCACCATAGCTTGGGCCTGGTAGGAGTCGGGAGGTACCACGCGGGAGAAGTAGTCATAACGGTTGCTGTCGCTGAGCTCAGGCGCGGTGGAGGCATAGCTGATCTGTGGGATCTGGGGGTGGGGAGAAAAGACCAGGCGCCGTTTTATTCTCAGTGCCCCGTGTGGGCTGCCGGACCCCAAAACAAGCTGTAGGATATTGCCTTCTACTGAATCAGACCCTTTGTCAGGCCCATAGCCAGGATTCTGTCATTCGGGGGGGCCTTTGAATAAGTCAGGGGGCACTCTTCAACTGAACGAAACCCTGAAACCCTCGTCGGCAGCGAATGTGTGTGAATTAAGATGTATATATGTTGTCCTCCCCTACCCCACAAATCATTGTTAGTCCCTCGTAATATTGAGTAACTGTAAATCGCTCAGAGCCAGCAAGCTCTGCAGGATTGAGCGATCAATAAATTGAAAGATTATTATTATTATGTCTCAAAAACAAAACTGAAATAAAATTTTAAAAACTCACGCTTGCCTGTTGAAGCAGGCAGGAGCAGCTGGAGCAGGCAGCCGCTCAGCCACGGAGGCCTCCCATTGCAGGACAAGGGGCTCTGGCAGTAACGGGGTGAGGGGTGGGGAAGCAAGCCATGCTTGGGGAAGGGGTGGTGGGGGTGGCAGGGGGGCTGAGCTAGATGGAAGTTGTGGGGCCTTGGCAGGAAGTCAGGGGGCCGGGCCCCGAAATGCCCCATTGTAGCTACAGGCCTGCCCGTCGTCCATCAAGGAGTGTATTGTCTACTCAGACCAGCAGTGCCTGTCCATCGTCTCAGGCAGAGGTCTTTCACATCACCTCCTGCCTGGCCCTTTTGACTGGAGAGGCCGAGGATTGAACCTGGGACCTTCTCATGACAAGCAGATGCTCTACTGCTGAGCCAGGGTCTCAGGCAAGGTATTTCACATCACCTCCTGCCTGGCCCTTTTGACTGGAGAGGCCGGGGATTGAACCTGGGACCTTCTCATGCCAAGCGGAGGGTCTACTGCTGAGCCAGGGTCTCAGGTAGAGATCATTCACATCACTTCCTGCCTGGCCCTTTTAGCTGGAGATGCTGGTGATTGAGCCTGGGACCTTCTGCGTGCCAAGCCAGGGTCTCAGGTCAAGGTCTTTCACATCACCTCCTGCCTGGCCCTTTTAGCTGGAGATGCTGGTGATTGAGCCTGGGACCTTCTGCATGCCAAGCAGAGGCTCTGCCACTGAGGCACAGCCCCTCCCCAAAACCAGTGCTTCATACATGAACACATATGAAGCTGCCTTCTATTGAACCAAACCATCGGTCCATCAAGGTCAGTATTGTCTACTCAGACTGGCAGCCGCTCTCCAGGGTCTTACGGGGGCCCAACTAGACAGGATGCCTTATTTCCCCAAAGCCACCTAGTAGCTGCTGGGAATGTCATTTTTAGCAATCAGCGGGAGCGTGATTCGGCTTGGAACTGTGGTGTGGATATCGGAATCCACAGATCGGGGCCGCACAGAGGCTGAAGAGATTTTTCTGCACACTTGGTGGACTCCCCGGGTGTGCAGAAAAATCTGAAACGTTAAAAAAAACACATGGGGGAGGGTTTAAATCCCCCGACAAGGAAAGCACTCACCTCCGGCAGTCAATGGCTGTGGCGCTGGGGAAGCACGCTGGGCCCAACAGCAGCGGCTACACAGCCCAGGGCGCTACACTGAGCCTGGCACCCGCAGCTGTGCAGCCTGGGAGCCACACTGGGTTGTGTGGTGTTGGCCATACAGCCCAGGGCTCCATGCTGGGCCTGGCAACAGTCGCTTTGGGCATGCCACCACCGCTGATGGAACCCGGGAGCCGTGCTGGGCATGCTGTGCCTGGTGGGCAGCCGAAAAGTCATGCCTGGCCTTGGAGTCACGCTGGGTGCAGAGAGAAAGGGGGGGGGGGAATTCTCCTGCGAGTATCGCAGGCCTGCATGTGGCTTTCCTCAGTACAGTGGGCCATCGTGGCTTTCCCCAGTGTGGCCAGAAAAAGAGAGTAATGGGGTGGTGTATGTGTGTGTGTGTGTGTGTGTGTGTATGTATGTATGTATGTGTGTGTGTGTGTATATATATATATATAGAGAGAGAGAGAGAGAGAGAGAGAGAGAGAGAGAGAGAGAGAGAGAGATGGAATTTTGCCCCCTAGTTCCTGCCTCTTAGCAGCCCTAGAACAATGTTTGAGTCCAGTGGCACCTATAAGACCAACAAAGTTTAATTCAGCGTATAAGCTTTCTCCGCTGTTCTTTCGGCTCTCTGGCGACTCCTCTCGGGGGCTGTTGGTTATGGGCCCTGGTGCGCAGCCGCGTTGGGCGTCACAACGTCCTTGCAGCTCCGGACGTCCTCCTGCTGGCCACGTCATCAGCTGCTGAGCCAACTGCCTCCTTGGGATGTCGCTGCCTCTCTTCCTCTCCTCCGTGCTGACCGCCGCCGTGTCGCCGCCGCTTCTCGATTCCTCGCTCGGCTGGAGCCCAATTTCGAGGGAGGGGTACCCCCCTGTCCTCCTACGGACAGGTACCCATTCACCTAATTGCCCCGAGGGGCTTTCGGACTGCTGGGTTGGCAGGAGCTGGGGCAAGGGTCGGGAGCTCACCCCGACCACGGTGGTATTCGAACCGCTGTTACAGCTGTTCGAGATGACTATTTCTACAGGCATTTAACTGCCTGTGCCACCGCCCCTATTGTATTGGGGTGGAATATCCCAGGTCTGTCCATAAGAGACGGGCTGAGCTTAGAGCTCTGGAATAATAGATCACCAGGATTCTAGAGGTAAGCAATGAGGAGACAATGTTATGTAAATAGGGAGTGGGGTGTGTTCGGGTGTGGTTCTTGCATGCTACTTAAACAGAGCAGTTGCCCCGGAGTCTTCAGTCTTGTTCCTGAAATCACTAAATAAAGTAGAGCTGTTCACTGCAATGTGCCTCGAACCCAGTATTTAACAACCAACAAAGGTTTATTCAAGGCACGAGCTTTCGTGTGCACGCACACTTTGTCGAATACGTAGAATGGCCCAAAAAAAGAAAAAGGTTCAGACTTATAGCCAGAGAATGAACAGCAAATGAACATGCAACATGATGATGATCAAGATATGTAAAGTGACACTAAATAACAGGATTATAAGGTCAACAGTTGTAAAGCAATAAATATGTCAAACTAGCAGAGAAATGTCTAAAGGAGTCTTCTAATTGTGGGAAGTGACTGGGAATCTTCATTCTCTCATGTCAGGCAGAAAGACAGACAGAGAGACAGAGAGTTCTAGGGGTGGTGGGGGGAGAAAGAAAAAGAGAACACTGACTGTAGGGACAATGGAGAGAGAAGAGAAAGACGTATGTAAGAACGAGACATAAAGTAAGAGAAGGAGTGGGAGAAAGAGAGAGACTGAGAGAAGGGAATAAGCAAAGGCAGGGAAATGAGATGGCTGATGCCACAAGTTTCTTGTGGGTCTCCACTCGTAATCTTTCTAAGTAACTCTGTGAATCATTTTGTACAGTGAAGAAGAGGAGAAGAAGAACAGATTGGGTGTATACCCTGCCCTTCACTACCCGAAGGAATCTCAGAGCGGCTTACAATGTCCTTTCCCTTCCCCTCCCCACAACAGACACCCTGTGAGGTTAGGTGGGGCCGAAAGAGTTCTCTCGAGAACTGCCCTTGAGGGAACAGCTCTGAGGTTACTTGTGACTGACCCAAGGTCACACCAGCAGCTGCATGTGGAGGAGTGGGGAATCAAACCCGGTTCTCCCTGATTAGAGTCCACACTCCTAACCACTACACGAAACTGGCAACAACAACAACAACAATAATAATAATGCAAAGTCTATTGCCTCATTGAGAAAGCCCTCTTGAATAATCCAGTTTTGCAGTTTGTGGAAAGCCAGGAGAGAGGGAGCCTTCCTGACCTCCGGAGGCAGGCCATTCAACAAGGCGGGGGCCACCACAGAGAAGGCACCTGTTGTTGATTTTGCCCATTTGCAGGTTGCTAGGGTTGCCGACCCCCAGTCGGGGTGGATTTCTCCCCAATTTCAGGGGCCCTAGCCCGCCACTGACCACCTGCCCGCCCCCAAATAGCCCTCTCCCACATCAACATTGTCAGCACGATGACGTCACCCAGAAGTGACATCATTGCACCGGGCACGCAGTGTGTGGACACTGTAGCATTTTGGCCAAAATCTCTCTAGGATTTTTGTCCAGAAGATCCAGGCACGGACCCGGAAGGGCCCCCCCCCCGCCCCCCGAAGGCTGGTAAGGCCTGGCAAGACCCTGCTGGGATGAGCGAAGCTGTCGACCTTCTGTAGGGTGTAGGGCTAAGGCTCCCTTCTGGTAGAAGCCCGCATCTGCAGCCCTTCAAAAAGCATGGAAATAAAAGTCTCTCCAACAAGAGAGCCCGACTCGCTCTCAAAAACAGAAAGGGCTATCAAGAGATCCAGATGGAGCAAGTTAGCTTGACGGTCAGAGAAGCCAAATTCAAGAGGAGGGCCTTAGAACTAACCCTACAGGCAGGGCTCTTTTTGTAGAAAAAGCCCAGCAGGAACTCATTAGCATAATAGGGCACACCCAAAGCAGGAACCCATTAGCATATTAGGCCACACCCTGACAGCACAGCTCATTCACATATTAGGCCACACCCCCATGTTACCAGAAGTGTGGTCATCCAGCCACACCTACCTTTTGCTTCTTATTCTCTTTACCTTGTTTGTTGTCAAAACCCAGGGCTTTTTGCATGTTAGGCCACACACCCCTAATTGTAGCCAATCCTAATGAGTTCCTGCTGTTGGGTGTGGCCTATTATGGTAATGAGTTCCTGCTGTTGGCTGTGGCCTATTATGGTAATGAGTTCCTGCTGGGCGTGGCCAACTTGGGAGCCAGCCGGAACTCCGTTCCTGTGCGTTCCTGCCCCAAAATAGCTCTGCCTACAAGCATTCATTCATGGGGGGGGGGGTATGTGTATTAAGGGGAGACACGATCCACAAACCGACAAATCAAACTTCTCCCCCTTAAACAGGGCTTGATAATCTCTTAAGGCTCTCGATAAAACCTCCAGATCAGACTTGGCATTCAATTCAGCAAAGTTTCAAGCAGGAGTCTTTCC